GGGGGCGGGACATGTGCCGGAACGGGCGGTGCCAACAGTAAAACATCTTATTTTTGCTTCGAAAAAGTCCAGACACCGGGGAAAAATGTTCAAAGGTGGGGATCGGGTCAAGAAACCAGACGGTGGAGACTCACATGCTGTGGGCGGAGCTGTCGCAAAATGGGCGGTACTTTTCAGATGTAATCATAACTCGATTCAATTAACGCGCAGAGGCCAGGAAAAAAATAAAAAGAGTGAGCAGGGCCTTATGCGTGCTGGGTATGGTTAAGTTTAGCAATGCTTCTCCCACGGTGGGCGGGGCGTGCGTTAAGGTGAAAGCAACTTTTCAAAAATGAGTGTAACTTCGTTCGGAAACGTTCTAGAATGCGGGAAAAAAGTGGTCGGTGGTCATGGAACAAATGTGGCCAAACCCTCGAAGTGGGCGGGGCTGGCACCAAAGTAGGCGGAGCTTTGATCAAAAATGTATAACTCTAATCAGAAACATTCTGGGATGCGGCAAAAAGGTATTAAGGTGTAAAAGAACAAATAAGGTCAAATCCCAGAAGTGGGCGGGGCTGGCGCTAAAGTGGGCGGAGTTGGCACTAAAGTGAGTGGGGCTAATTGTAAGACAAAAATTTATAACTCTGTTCAGAAACGTTCTGGGATGCGGCAAAAAGGTGTTAAGGTGTGAAAGAACAAATAAGGTCAAATCCCAGAAGTGGGCGGGTCGGCACTAGAGCGGCCGGGGCTTCGATCAAAATTTTAAAGCTATTTAGAAACGTTGTGTGATGCGGGAAAAGTGGTAACATTTAGTAGAACTAATGTGGTCAGTTTCCACAAGTGGGCGGGATTGGCACTGAAGTGGGCTTACATTGGGATTATTAAGTACTCTTTACGGCCACACACGGTCCCATCTCACTTCCCAAAAACGATGGCCGCTACAGAGGTGTCAGGGAAGAGGCTCAGATGATAAAGTTCTGTAATGAAAATCAGAAGCTCATATGGTTCCGTCCCTAATGGCTAGAGCCCCTAGCGCACGCAATAGCGTGCCTAGCCGCCTTGTATTTTCAAATATGATTAATCGTTCCTCCAAGGCGCGGTCGAACTTCTATCAATAAGTACTAAATATAAATGAATATCCAAACAAAGAAAAGCTATTCAAAGGCAATACAACAACGATAACGAGAGGTGATGCGCCGCGCGGTTTCCCGCCACCACTTGTGCGGCGTAGTCTCATCACCAAGGACGCTACTTTTTCCGCTTTTGACTGGTAATAAGACAAACTTTCTCACATCCAAGCTTTTTGCACGATGAAAGGACCTAACCCATCCACATTTCTTCTCTAGACGTAAAAAAATGTATTAACTGCAGAAAATCGTTTCTAAGCTCCACTGCAACTCTGCAAAGCCGGGCAACCATCTTGCCTTGCATGCTGCGAGTTGGAGATGCAGAACACAGTAAAATCCATCTCCGTCTTCCCCACCCCCTCCACTGACTCCACCAACTCCGAAATAATAATAAATTGCTGGCTAACCTATAGCCGAACGTAGAGCAAACAAAGGAACAAGCGCGTTCTTGTTGAATGCCAAGTTGAGAAGTTGACGATGAGAAGTGACGGGGCAAATATTGTAATTATCGGCATCTTCGTCAATGACACGCTCAATCGAGTCATGTATGTGTGGTAGAGCATACTGAAACAAGAGTCTCACAACTTGACCAGGAGGATACTCGGTAAGATTGCGTCGAGAAGAAAGGAGTTGGTACGAATACCTCTATCGCATCTCGACCACTGGTCTCTCCTCCATGCCATCCCACCACATCAGATCCATCAGCGACTATTAGATCACACAACCACTGACAATCGGCTGAGAGTACGTTTATGGAAACACCCTACATACTACTCTTCAAAGTCGTTCAAATCGCATGATTTGGAACAGAACCTTTTATTAGGAAATTTGGTGTGATCAAAACAAAAGTTTTGATGATGGGCCAAGCCCTAAGAAAATCTTTGCTTCACTGGACCATTGAGTGTGTATAGAACGAATTTCAAAGAAAACGTCCAGTAAATTTTCGAAGTCTGGTGATGAAAACTTGAAATGAGGGTGGAGTAAAGTAATATGGCTGTTACTAGCTGCCACTAGACTCAACGCTTATTGAGCATGCCATCAAGGACCAGAGCAGGGTCGTAGGAAAGAAAACGAGGAGGAAAGGGGGCCGCGTTCCCATTCACTACATTTTTTGTTCTGGTATAATTGCCTAGCATTTCACAAGAACCAAATCTATCACAATGAAGGATAAAACTCACTTGACGAAACTTGCACAATAACAAAGAGCAGACTACGGAAACCAAGGATATGGAAATTATAGACTGCGCCTCTAAAAAGTAAAAAACCAAAAAGAAATAAAATGCTAGTAAAGTAAAGTAATAGAAGAAAATTGAGTTGTAGAAAGAAGTACCATGTACGACATGGTAACCTATAGCTCTGATTAAGCTCCTGTCGTCCGGTTTTTCTCTATGTCCTGTTTGCCATGGTACAAGTTCTCTAAAAATCGGGAAGCTTTTAACACGTTGACGACAACGCGAGACACATATACTCATTTCGCAATTTTTTAAGCGCATGCGTGATTTATTAAAATATTTTGTGTATTTATATTACAGATCAAACAGTAACAAAGCTATAAACATAATGGTCCATAAAATGATCAGATATAAGGTAGCCATTCTATCAGATGGCAAGCTATTTATTTGTTTTGGAGAGCACCCTCTATGAATGCGTCTTCTGGAAACTGGAAATTTTATTTCTCCACCAGGGAAGTCGACTGTCATGCCTGGCTGCTGGTAAAGATGGGAGTTTATCTCGGCAGGCGACTTGATTTGATGGGAATCCTTTCAATTTCAATTCTAATTCTAAATGATCACTTTTGCATGATTGTGTTTTTATTTTTACTTCAGTCAATTTTTTTATGACTGAGACCTCTGTCCTCTAAGTTAGGCACACCTTTGAGTGCATGAAATTACTATTGGGTTGTAACATAAGTTCGCAGTTTTTTCACGAAGATTTATTTAAAACAAAACAATAATTATAGTATTAAATCGATCAATGATGTATCCTCCTGTTACTGTTTGCGACCTCCTCCCATCTCTCGACCAATTTGTTGATGCCGTTTCGCCAAATATCGGCCGGTCTGGAGTCAAAGAAGTTGTTGAGCCAGTTTTCAAGAACCTCTTCGCCATCGAAGATAACACCCCTCATTTGGCAAGACAGAGAGCGGAAAGGTGGTAGGTCGGTGGGTGCAAGATCCGGGGAGTATGGTGGATGCTGAAGAACCTCTTATTCAAGCTCTTGGAGTGCGACTTGAGCAGTATGGGGCCTGGCGTTGTCGCGGAGCAAGATGACTTGACCTTGTCTATCGAGTCTTTTCAACCGAATAGCCTCACTTACACGGTTTAGCTGGGCAATGTAGTCCTTCTTGTTGACAGTAGCGTTTCGCTCGAGCATTTCCCAGTGCACCGTGCCTTTCCAGTCTCACCAAATCATGACCTTTTTTGAGTGAGGGCCTTGCTTGACTCTCGGCTTCGGTTCTCTCCTGAGACCACCCAAAGACACACCTAAAACACCTTCCTCGTACACACTGCATATGTCCCGAGCAGCTTCGGCTGCTTTTTGACATCGCTGAAAAGTAGATGTCGAAAATGCTGATTTTCTCCTTCTGGATGTTCCAATTCTTAGCCAGAAAAAAGACGAACAATTAGATTATCCAAAAAACGACTGAAACCGTTTTGTAAGGGAGAAAGAGCTCTTTCGAATGAGTATATACACTCCGCGAAAAATCAAAGCCATTCGTTGTAAAATGACTCTATCGCAAAACTCTACGGACTTATGTTACAACCCAATAAATAAATATGCTTCATCTTCGCACAGGTTTTCTTAGTCTTACAATATTTTGGGCAGGTGGTCGACGCGGCCTCAAAATTGCGTCTGTCATACGCGGCCAAGAATGTCTAAACGTGCGTTGTCGTCAAAGTGTTAATGCAGAATCCTTGAGGCAAAAGAAGTGCACCTGTATGACACAGCATGGGGAATACGAGTCAGCTGAGGCATAACTGTGCGAGATGAAAGAGCTTCATGAAGCGCTTTCATGTAATCCTGTAATAATGATATCTAGGATCATGCGTTGAAGAATTAAAAGATGTGTAGATAGAACCGTAAGGAGAATGGGACTTCCAAAGTGCATCCGCACCGAACCGCAACGTCTGGACTTGCCCAAACTCTTCACTACACCACATAGCACACGGAAAACACTTTCGCGCTTCTGTAACAAGAACAGATAAGCTTACTATTAAGACTCCATTTACGTGAAAGACAGAATTCCACGATTATGAATTGGTGTCCCATACACTACAGGACAACGTATGTTATTAATTGATACTCGAGCTTGCTTATCGCATTCATCACTAGTCCGATCACAAAAAAAGTGGAAAGGCTCGGCTCACGATGGGCTCTTCAACATTTTTGTTCTATGCCTCCTCCCCCCATTATATTTAGTCTATATGGTCCAGGAGAACAGGAGTTATTGACTATCGGCAGATTTATACAAATACACTAAAACAAATTTCGTGAACGGTTCAGTGGTTAAAGGCACAGTTCACGACAATTTTGGCTAATCAAGGTTATGACTAAAATGGAACATAAAGTGGAAAATAGTGCGATGAAGGTGAAGAAAATGGATGTATCGGTGTTGCCAAAGTGAAAAAGCCTCGGAAAGAATCCTTAAAAAGGCTAAACGAGATTGAGACCAGAAATTGAAGGAGGGCGTGCTGAACGTGTTGGTCCTGGCACGAATATTTCAATCTGCTCCCGGGAACTCCGGGCGATTCGGTGACGTGTTCCCACTATGCCCTAGCTGTTCAGTTTTTGAACCCGACAGCGTCCTTCTTGCTACCCTTGTGAGACACAGGGTATTCCTAAGTGTAAAACTCAGAAGCCATTTTTATCGTGAACTGCGCCTTTAAGTCGCCTGGTTCATTCACCACTTACTCAGGATTGACTTCGTAGTTCCACTCAAGATGTGCCCTTTCAACAAAAGTTCCGCTCTTCCCGTGCATCTGGTTCCTTCCCCCGTGAATGGAGTTCAGTTCAGTCACTTCCCACTACCTATCATCCCAACCTGCTTCCTGTATTCCTATAGGTTATTTGAACCCTCTCGGCCCTCGGCAGGAGTTATGAAATTCAGTTACGAACAGATTGCCAAACATTTATCTCGCGCATGCACCTTTGGGTGAAGTCCAGTTATGCCACCCTCCGATGGGTGTGGTGCGATTCAAGCCTCTCACGTGATGGGCGATGCTGCGTCGACGAGAACGGTCGCACTACAACTCGACATGCTTATCATTTATCGTGAGGGGTCAATAGAAAACTACAAAAGGCAAGTAAAGTGATCAACTACATGCAGAAAGATTACGTTCAGTAATTGCGTTCAGGAGAATCGAAACATTTTGAAGTTATCCCTATTCTGAACGTTTGACAGGTAAATTGTTGACCTACGAAGTAAGCCCTTAACCTTGAACAGGGTTTATTATTATGGTAAAAAGATTTGCTTCACTTAATGGTAAAGCTATGGACTAATGTAATCTCATTTGGTCCATCTCAAGAAGAGCACGACCGCATCGAAATCGCAACGTAATTTTCTGCAAGTGCGTCGCGTGCGGCCTGGCCGAAGAAATCTGCTGATTCGAGGGTGATCGCACGTTTCTCCTACAATTTGAACCCTCTATTCCAAATTAGCTATTTTCGCCCATTCCCTGCCCCTGTGGACAGAGCCTAGTCCTGCCATCCACAATAAGGGTTCCACCCTGCCCCCTGTACTCCTATTAAATTTGAACCCCTTAGGTCCATGGACACCACATTCACATTCACATTCACATCCACATCCACATCCAGATCCAGATCCACATCCACACACATAATACATACATACATACATACATACATACATACATACATACATACATACATACAACACAGACGCACGCACAGAAAAACAACACAGCGCGTTATATACAGTAGGATAACCATGGTTCCAACTTCTATAACAGAGTTCAATACCAGCTGATCACACCAAACCATTCACTGAAAAGAAAGAAATACCTTGGGAATCCCCATCAACTCGTCTAGAAAGACACCTTCAGCGACACTGTCGTATGTATAGGACACTGGTACCAAGTAACAATCTGATATAGTCTCTGAAAAAATTAGTAATCGAAAACAAAATCCAAATTGATTTAAGATCAAGGTGCAATAGTTCCTTTTACCTAATCACGTTTGAAGCGAGACAACAATTGAAGTTAAATGAATTCTTGTCCAGAACAGTAATTAAACTATCAAACTGTAAATTACGTGCTAAGTGTGTCTCTTGGCCTGTCGGGGCGTTTGTGTACATATGCCAGAGTATGTGTGACCAGATACTAATAACCCCTGCTCCTGCGGCCTGCGATACTAAAGCGTCCAAATTTAATAAGTGTACAGGCAGCTGCATGGGAACACTGATAGCAGGTGGACACCGTGTCGTGGTCAACCACGACTCCACTATTTTCCCATCTCTTATCGTTCGCTTATTGTAGCATCATATACTCACTCGGTAACATTCCCCTAGTTCTTATCCCA